AGAGGAGCTTAAATTATAATTTAGACAAAAATAAATAAAAATCCATTCTCTTGATATTATTGACAAATAGTATATTACTCACCTAGGGAGGTAAAGTAAGAAATGTCTCAGAGTACATGTAATTGGTGGCCGAGGCGAAGCTGAGGTCAACAAACATGTGCTCTGAGGCTTTCTTATTTACTGCCCATGGTGAGTATACATTTTTTCTGCTCGACGTAGGCGGAAAGCGGCAACTTCGTTTTGAACAGCGGGAGAAAAGTTGACGCTTTTCGTCCGGAGGGAAGAAAACAATCTTATCTTATTTTAATTCTTTTTTTTTTTAACGGAGTTGAGTTCGTTTATTCCATTTTGATATTAATGTTGGAAAATGATGTTATATCGATGAAATCCCATCGATATAGTAGTAATAATCCATATAATTAAGCAATTAATTAACATTGAAAATAAAAGTCTTCGTTTAAACGATAAAATTTGTATGGTTTTCATATATAAAAGATATAAAGAATACGTAATTACTAGATGAGAATTGCAAATGATAGAGATAGAGAATTAACGAAGTGAATGGATAGGAAGAAAGAACGATTATATACAAAAAGCACAGAAACTAAGAAGAGAGAGAGAGTAAAAGAGAAGACTGGGAAGGGTTGGTAGAAGAGAAGGAAATACTGAGAAAAGTACCGTAAAGATAGGTGGCGTACGTACCAATGTAAATATGAACGATCCATCCCGCACGATGTCGCAAACAGAGAAACTAGTACTCTATTTGATATCCCTGGGGCTCGAGGTCTGCATTTTCAGATTTACTGCGTGCGTGAATATGCCGACATGTGTTCGGCACTACGTGAAAAGGAAGTGGTGGGGAACTGAACTGTGTGAGGGACCCCATACAATGCTGTTCCCGTGAGGGAAGCGTTGCATCCCCTAATTAAGATTGGCCTTGTTTCAAGCGGCTCACGAAATGATTCGCTAATCTCTAGAGGCTGGATCGTACGACATACATATGAACTTATATATCGTACAATCGTTTATATGAATATTCGTTGGATGGTACGGTGTTCTTATGCCAACTAATCTCTGTAAATCTCTGCGAACTCTTTATAATTCTTCTTTCTTTACGCGTATTAGTTTCGAATATTACGAGGTTATCGAGGCATTAAAAATACGCTTGCCTTTAAAAAAGATATTCGTCGATTAATTTTCTTATCATTCTTGATTCTCCTAGTGAATAACGACTTTTTCAGATTTACTCTAATCCGGTGTATGAATCTATTTCGATGAATACGATAATCCCATGACGCGAACTCCACCAAAATATAATATAAATATATATATTACCAAAATATAAATATATATATAAACTAAAAACAAATATATTGCATGAAATATAAAAAAGTAAAGTCAAATGTATTATTATTAAAATTTGTAATATTCTAACTATAATTGTTATTTCTACACGTGATTAAAATTTTAAACAAAACGAAAGAAAGAAATAAAACAAACTATTGTTTGTTCGTTATTAATCGCTTCTATAATGTGAAAGATAATGAAAAATAGAAAGATATTCCCTGAGAGTAGAAGAAATTTGTAAAATTTTCTCAACACTTGTGTACTCTCCTCGAACATCTTTGAAAGTAGTTGTTGACTTCTCTAACAAGTGAGATTTGTTTGAGACATACCGAAGGCCCGAGGAAAACTAAAGGGTTGATCAAAATCATGGAGTTGATCCGTGGACATGGTTGTTAGAGACTGTAATCGATACTAATTAGCATTGTGCAAAGTTACGTTCGTACGATGGCCGGCGGCGATTCACATCATAAACGCACGCGTTTCAATCCCTTCTCTTTCTCTCTCTCTCTCTTCATTCACCTAACATACCTAGCTGCCTGCCTACCTACCTACCTATCCCACTTATAGCTTTTAATACTAAATATAGTATACACGATTGTACATCGTATTGTGGGCTTTTGAAGATTTATCCCTCCATTATACTGCCGCTCGTGAATGTTCCCGACGTAAATGGGCCCTATCGCTGTCACGTGGACAAAGCGCTGACCGACGTGGTTATGACGGCAACGCGATACCCCTTTAAGTAATAATAATAATCGCGGCGGTAATGGTTGTGCTTCGATATACCTATGTGTATGTGAGTTCTCTCTTTTTCAATGCTTCTCGTTTTCTCTCTTTCCCAAATCCCAATTCCACCCCCCCCAAATAAGGAGTACCCCTTTCCTCATACCAATACTACTAACCTTCATCATCGTCGTTATAGTCGGACGACGCGACGCATCATCGGATCTGAATATGGATTCTTTTCTTTCCTACGGACGCTTTGTCGAGTTATTATTCGCCCTCGTATCCTGCCCCGCCGCCGTTACCGTCGTCACCAAGAGCGAACGAGCAACGAGCCTTTTTCCCTAACCGTCTCGACTTACCCTTGGCCTTACCCTTCGATAAAAGCCCGGTGCTCTAGTGTGTATCCGCGTTTCTCGACTCCGACCAAATCGCGAGGCTCCTTTAATGGAGTCGTCTCAATACAAATATTCCTTTTCAATTCCTTCATTTTCAACGAATCTCCAAAATTTCAATAAAACGATCACGATTTTAACCCAACACATAATCGATTAGTACGTATTTTATTTTTATTTCATTCATCAAAATAGTGCTAATAAAGTAATGCACTAAAAAGTAGTGCTTTTAGTAAATTAAAATTATATCCAATATCATGTATAAATGTCATATATTGGCAGATATTAACTAAAAAGTTTCACTCGTTTTAACAAGTTCTACAATGTGTACATTCTTAATTTTATTTTTCTTAATACCAGTTACATAAAATTAAGTGATTAATATTATTTCGTAAATTATTATATTATTCCATTCGCTCTGTTTATCGAATATATTTTACTGAAAAATATACCTTCTGAAATAGTAAATGAATAATTTGACATTAACGATGAAATTATCTTGATAAAAAATCATACCGATTGTATTTTAGTCTTGGAAATTTAGTCTGGACTGCAATGCTAATACAAACTTTAATTAATTTTTGTTAGGGTTTAAAAAGGATCCCCCTCTTAATAGTCAAGGGTTAATATATACGAGTTTAGGAGCGAAGTCAAGCCGAACATATATCTTGGCGATGAAGGGCGATCGAGCAATACACAGAACATCACCCTCAAAACGTTCGATGAGTCACGACGATCGACCAAGTCGGCAGGATCGTGGAAGGCTTTACAATTCTCGTAACGCGTTACGTCTTCGATTTTACGGTCGAGACTTTAGTTCTTTTTCACTTTAATGGCCCTTGGCGGCTTTTCCTCTTCAGCATTTCTTGACCATGTTGGATACAAGATTTGTCCCTTTAACTAATGTACCCGATCAATGTACATATCCGTTTTTTTTTCACAACTACATCTACATCTAGAGATCCTTTCTACAAGAATTTTAAATGAACTTTAATAAATTATGTCAACTATACTGAAACAAGATTCAGATGAAAAATAGGATGATTTATAACATTACGTTGAATAACACACATGGCGTACCTTTGCAACTTAAAATAAGTATCAAATATTTTGAGAGACATCCTATATGACTACAAACCATAAAAGGAAATATTCCTATCTATACTATTGCTTTTCGTATGATTTAACAACGAAGTGTAATATACACATAGATATATGTGTGTATATGATATTTATAGAACCGATTTCATCATGTTCGAGACGACTACTATACTCTTTCTCTCTTTCTCGCGTATCAATTGCAATATCGTGAACGCACCCATATCATTCTCTCCTCTCTAATTCTTCCTATCATCATCGAGGAAGGGTGCTGCTACCTAAATCGGTTATTTGAACATAGGCTCAGCTCGACTGTAAACATGTTGCATGAATTCTCACAACACAAGACGGATACTTATCATCTTGACATTGATTAAACTGCGAATTTAACTTTCCAAACGATCTTTCTCAAAATAGTAAAAAGGGAAAGAGATGCACTTACTATATCTTACTTTCTTTCTTTCTTTCTCTCTGTCAGTTTTTCGAGGTCCATGTATGTACTCGAAAAATACACAAGAGATAACACATTGAAGATAGGGTCCGGGACACGCGAAGCAGTGTGTAGACCATAAAGACAACTTGGACTCCTGCAAGGGTCGTAAACCGTCGTTACCAAACAAACCCCGAAATAGTCGAAGCATATGAAAAGTTGAGAATCTCATAGAGGTGGAGAATTACTAAAAGGAAATCTTTTAGAACGTAAAAAGTATTTCTTCATTCGAACGCAAACAAACGATAACGTAATACCAACTGCTGATATCTTTTAAGGATCCGATATTTTTTTTTTCTTTTTTCTTATGCTCTTTCTAAAGAAATTCAAAATCTTATCTTTTTTTCCTCGATTACAAAACTATCCACGGTCACGATCATGATACGTCCACCCGAGTCATTCCGTAGAATGGTTCTTGATCGATCCGTCATGTTAACTGTAGATCTTCATGTTTCGTCTTTAATTCGTGGTTTTATAAGAAGAAAAAAATAAAATTTCTCGAGGACACAAATATTTCCTTCCTTCGAGAAATCCTTATCTCTACAGTTTGTCTCAGCAACAAATAAAATTGTATAAATAACACCTGTAGAGAGAAAAAGATAATGATAGAAAAGAGATAAGATATTTCTAAAGTTTTATTTTTTTCTCTTCAAAAAAAGATAAAATAAAGGAGAGCAATCAAACAACATGGCAAGGTTCTGTGTCTTATCCCCCCTCTCTCTCCCATCAGCCTTTCTCCCTCTTCTCAAATCAGAACACAAGAGGGCTTCCACTCACTATAATTTTCACTCCGAATACCTGCTCTAATTATAGGTACTTCAACGAAAGACGCCGCAGTAGGCGTTTTTCTTCTTCTGGTAGCGCGCAAAGACAAGAAATATATGTGTAAGATGAAAAAAAAGAAAATTGATTTCTCTTCCTACTCACTCTTTTCTCTCTTTTTTTAGGTATTTGGGATTGGAGCCTCGCTTGAGCGGATCGGTCCAGAGTGTTGGAGGCGGTGCCGACGGTGCAGACGGACAACAGGGTTTGGGCATTGCTGGCGCAGGTGTGATCGGTCCTGCTAGTGCTGAAAAAAATTGCAAAAGTGTCCACCTCAGTGTCAAGCAACAACAAATTTGTTCGCGCTCACCACCAGTTCTTCAAGTACGTTATTACGTAAACGACTAATAACGTCGAACTTGTCATTAATTTACCGTTGATATCGACGCTTCATCACAAATCCAAAATTGAATTTAATGTATGAAAGTGGTATGAATTTAATTTAAAAAATAATTATTTTTCATTCAATTATATTCATTAGCTTTTTCCTACTACAATCTTTTATCCTTTTTTTAACTTATAATATTAAAATCGATAAAAAGTGGAATTATATTATTTTCCAAAATAACTGCTCACTTGATACTAAAGAAGAAATAAAATACCTGTTATAGATAAAAAATATTTTGCCTTTAAGTTGATATTTTTCATTTTTAATTACCTGACGAATAATTATACCTTTATTATATATATGTATATTTAACATAAATTTCATATATTTTGGGTAAAATAATTTATATATCTTTTTTTTTTTTTCTTAATACAACGAGAAGAACAATTCTAAGAGATTTTAACGAGTTTTTAATGGTCAATCAAGCAGTTAAATACAAAGCAACGTGTGATTACTATTTTCGAGCTGGAAAGGGATCGTCAAGACTTTATCTTAAAGCAAAGATTTATGTTTCACGTAAATAATTAATACAAAAGTGATAAATTTCAATAAAATAATAATAATCACATTAAAATAAAGGTATATATAAGACTAAGGAAATACCAGTTGCATATTTAGTAGATCTGTTAATTTTGTCAAATTTCTCTTAAAAAAAAATTTGATTATTATAAACATTACATTAATTAAATTAAAACGTACAATTAGGAATTTATGCAGTCAATAACTAAAAATTTGTATATGATAAATACAAATATGTGTCCTCTATCACAATATCTAAGATACGCAATTGCTGAATATGTTCGAATTGGTTGAACAGTGCAATGATAACGTAATTATTTGAAAGTATGTATTAACTAAAAATCATGAGAGAGTGAAAGAGAACGATCTCTCACCGATCATGCTGGGAAAGTATCGGCCTAGCTGCTTCGATTCCATGCGTTACGAAATGGAGAAGGGTCGGAAAGATGAATACGACGAGCGAGTTTCCAAACGTTAAACCGAGTACAAATGATGGTCGTCTCTTAAAAGAATTACACGGCGAGTTAATCGAAAGAAAAAGACAAAAGAGATAGAAAAATACTTCTTGTTTTTGTTGCACCGTAAAACTGCTGCTGGTGAACTCACCTGGATCAAGGTGAAACTCAGCTTTAAATTCCCAAAAATCGCGTTTACCTTTCTCTAATGCACAAATCCTGTCGCATGACCTAGAGGTGGAAGAAAGAAGGTGGTTAGCAGAGGTGATGATGGTCGACCGACTAGGAACCGGTGCCTAGGTAAACTCGAGACTCGATATTTCTTTGAACGTTGCCGACCATCCCGGTTTTCCCAGACTGACTGCCGACATTCAAGTCTCGCTCGGAGTTACCGACAAAAGACACCGACATGAATATTCATTCATCAAATAGGACACACCTATGACCGTCTTTCTTCTTCCTCGTAGTACCTTCATTTTTCTTATCCATTGATTTTTTATTGTTTCGATCACGAAATCAAAAGATTATAATTTTTAAAGAGAAATCGTTAACTAATGAATTCATTTTCTAATACCGATACTCGAAATTTGCTGAAATGTATCATTTGCGTTATTATTTTTTCTATGGTAACAAAATTTAAATAACAGTGAATAGTA